CAAAGTTGAACTCCAGGAAAACAGCTAAAGATGCTGTTGGTTTATTGGGAGGTGTTTTACCTAACCCCTTTTATTATCTACACATCCTGCCACACATCAAAGCTAGATTGTTGTCCTCACATTATTTAACTAAAGTTTAGCAATATAGCTTGGTAACCACCCTGTTATATTCTGTTGTATGGTCAATGAAAGAGCAGTTGCACATTGATTTGCTTTCCCAGTTGATGTGGATCACAGTGCACTCTCTCCCTTTCTCAGTCTGAGTACCCCTTTGCATTGCTGAAGACAGACATATGCAATTCAGGTATTTACACTAGGAATGAAATGTAACAGGATTCATGATCACCCAAATAATCAGACAGAGGGTGGCATTAACTTGAGCTTTACTGAAAAAATGCAGAGTAGAAACTGGCAATCCCATATGCATATAACACAATACAATATATAACAGAAAAAAAAGAGACAGACAGGCCCAAAGCAAAAGCATAGGAAGGGTGGGTACCTACCTTGATTAGATACTTTGTAGTGAGTCGGTGGGCCAAAAATGAGTGGGATCCAGAAGGATCCATGGAATGTCACCTGCCAGTTACTCGCTCTTAAACCAAGATTCGCCTGGTGATCAGCAAATGCAAAATTCAATTGAGGCAGTTGCAGTTCCTCTTAGGCAAGCTGAACTCTGTGTGTCAAATTATGCCAATGGGCAGATGGTCAGCCATGACTGAGATTACTTCACCGTGACACTTTGAACAAGTTGAGCAGCGATCATAGGGTGGATTTACGTGTTTGGCATGTTTTTCTGGGAACTTTTAACAGATGTTCACTTTGGCTTCACTTTGGAGTTTTACATGGATGGGAGGTTCCTCCAGCTATGGAGCGTTCCTGGGTGACCAGTGGAGTATGGAGCTTTGGCCAGTGGAGTGGCAGGAGGCTGGTTTTCTGAAAAAACTTGTTCTGCTTGAACTCTTTCAGGTGATTTTTTTTGCAGGGGATATTTGGGGTGACTCCTTTTGCAATAAAAAAGTTCATCTGAACTGCAACAACATGGGTCTGGTGCAGGTCATTAACCAGCTATCTGCTTCCTCTGCATCCACTGTTAGGCTGTTATGTGATCTTGTTTTGTGTTGTCTGCAATTAAATGTCTTATTGTATGCTGTACACCTTTCAACTGGACAAATTCTGGGAGTTGGCACGGGGTGCGGAGCGACATGGAGTTCCTTGTCCACAGAAGCTGTGGCAAATTGCATTGAAGTCACCACAGGCTTGATCTGGAATTCCTTAAGTAGGTCTACGTGGGCTGGGTATTCTAGGGTATGGCAGAAATGGAGGGATCTGCTGTCGATAGTTGGTATGAATTTGGTAAGTATGGAATTTAGCACTGTTCTGTTGTAATTTATGTGCTCGAATATTGAGAAAGGTGTGTGGATTTCGGCCATCAATCACAAGTTGGCCAGCTTGGCTTTTTTATTCAAATTATTGGGTGTCCGAGATTGCACAAAGGACATTCTGGTAAAGCAGGCCTTGAAAGGTTACAGGAGGGGTTCCCACAGGTCGGTCACCTTTGGTATGTTGCAGGAGTTGTTGGTTTAGGTGATTTCAGTTTGCTTATCAGATTATGAGGTGCTTTTGTTCCATACGGCATTTTTGCTGGCAGTTTTCGTGGCGCTTCTGATCAGAGAATTGGTTAGTCCTTCTAAGTCAATTCAGGGGGGCTCCTAGATAGCGAGGTCTGCTGTTCTATTTCTTCGGTGGTCTTGTTCATTAGATGTTCTAAGATGAATCAGATGGGCAAGGGTAATAATTTGCATCTCTAACGTATTTGGGGTTCCCCTATTTATCTGGTTTCAGCTGTGGAGGACCCACACACAGAGAGAAGGTTCCTTTTTTGTTCTCCTTGGACAGTTCAGTCTTGTTCATCTTCCAATTTGTGTTGGTTTTCTGGCATTATCTGTCTGCTGCTGGTTATGTTTCCAAAAATTATTCTTCTCACTCCTTCCACATTGGGGCGGCCACCAAGGCTGCCAGCTGGGTTTGCGAGAATCGGTTTTAAAATGCATCGGAAACTGGGATTCTGACGGTTAAAACTCTATGTCTGCCCTCTCTTGATCTACTGTGCCTTTTGGATTATTTCCATTCATTGCTGCTTGTGTGTAGCATACCTTGTTCTCTTGTCATGTGTTCTTTGTTGTATTTTCTTTTCCAGATGAATCTTGCTGTCTTGTGTGGATCTTAGTCTACTCTTTTGTTTTTTGGAGGCCAATCAGGCAAACTTTAGAACCAATGGGAGACAGTTGTGTTTTCCTAGGTCAGGTGGATAGGTTTCCTGGAATTGTTATGGAGCAGGATGGTTCCAAAGGTGCATCGTTTCATCCCATCTTGATAGGTTGCCTGTCATATTGGTGCTGCATGCATATGGTGAGGACTTGGGAGTCTGACCCATGTACCACCTCATACGTGACATCAAATTTGATTTTCTTAGGCTGCGCACTGCCTTCCCTGCCATAGTGGTGGTTTGGTCAGAGATTGTTGGTCGCACGTAATGGTGTTTTGCACAGTCGATTGACAAATTGAACAAGGCATTCATCAAGGTAAAAAAGGAAGTTGGTTGTTTTGTTGTGCATAATGGGAGTTTTATTGTAAGGCACCATGACCTTGAGGTGGACACATGGCAGTATCTGTGATTTTGCATGCCATTGGTACAGATTTGTGGTTCTTGGGCCTGCAAGACATAGTCTAGAGGGCTTTGAATTTTTGGAGGGACTCACAGGTGTAAGGAAATACACTTACGAGCAGTGGCGGTTTGGGGTCTTCAGAGGCATTAAAACTTTTGGTAATGGTTCATATTGGGGACACATCTAAGGAATGGCATCCTCTGTTGGATCCCAGTTAACAGTGTGTTATCTGGGAGGTGGTAATGGTAGCAAGGATGCATCTGCTGAGTGGTGGGTTTGTCCCTGAGCAGGTGTAGCGTGGCTGGGATAGTTAAGTAGCAATGCAGATACAAACCTAATGTTGGTTATTTGGTGCCTCCTAAGATTGGCAACATTTATGTTATGGTTAGTTTATTATTGTTTTTGTTTTAGGGAATGTTATTTTTGAATGTTTGTTTAATACATAGCCAATATAGCCAAATGTTTCTCCATTTTGGCGTCAGTCTCGTTATTTGGGTAAAGTAAGTTGGGGAGTATGCCATAGCACCTTGGTAGGATGGACTGGTGGACATCTGTGGTACCCTAATCATGCAATAACAGAGCCACAAAGGAGCACCTTCCCTACAGGGTCACTGGGTGCAACTCAGTTTAAGAGACACTCAGTAAAGAGAAATGAGAAGTCAGTACTAATGATTTACTTACTTTTCCTTTAAGACAAACCCTCTCTCACAGGGAGGTAGGAAGTATCTTACCATCCAGAGGGGCAGTTGAAGGGATCCCAAGACCTGCTCCACAGGGAAGTAGCAGGAGGAGTCTCTGCTCTGGGTGCATGAATAATGACTACATGCACAGGATCACCCCATGTTAGACTTGGCACTTCAAACAGGTGACACATTTTAGTGACTGGTCTTAGCAAGAAGCTGCTAGCTGAAACCAGGTACCCGCACACTTTGAGATGTATAAGAGGGTCAGTGACCTGGCAACATCTGAGAGAGAGAGAAAGCCACACCTTCATCTGCACATGGTATGTAATGAGGGATTTTACATTGTGATCCTCTTTAAGGGCATGTTAACTTCAGCAGGCAGCCGTTATGGTGCACAGAACACGTGCTCATGTGTGCGCATTGTGCATGTGTGCTTCATTATTAGAGATGAGCGAATTTCTCAAAAATTCGATTCGGCTGATTCGGCGAATTCCAGTGTGAAATTCGATTCGATGCGAATTTCTTCGCTACGAAGATGACTTATAAAAAGGGTTTCTAGGCTTCAGAGAGCCTTTAAATTAGTGCAGAACACTGTACCTTTAATTTAAATGCCCTTGGAGATGAGGAAAGAGAAGGAGAAGGAGAAGGAGAAGGATGAGAAGAAGGAGAAGGAGAAGGATGAGAGGAGAAGGAGAAGGATGAGAAGAAGGAGAAGGAGAAGGATGAGAAGAAGGAGAAGGATGAGAAGAAGGAGAAGGAGAAGGATGAGAAGAAGGAGAAGAGGAAGGATGAGAAGAAGGAGAAGGATGAGAAGAAGGAGAAGGAGAAGGATGAGAAGAGAAGAAGGAGAAGGAGAAGGATGAGAAGAAGGAGAAGGATGAGAAGAAGGAGAAGGATGAGAAGAAGGATGAGAAGAAGGATGAGGAGAAGAAGGATGAGAAGAAGGGACAGTTCTGTGACAGTTTCTGTCTATTTCTGACAGTTCTGGGACATTCACTCCATACAGCGGTTGAGAAACCAGCTGTATGGAGTGATTGTCCCAGAACTGTCAGAAATAGTCTGAAAACCGCTGTATGGAGGGAAGGGAGAATGTCATGGAACTGTCAGAGGAAAAGAAGAATTGTCATTAATGAGTCTATTTCTGACAGTTCCATGACATTCCCTCCATACAGCGGTTGAAACAGCTGTATGGAGTGAATGTCCCAGAACTGTCAGAAATAGACTATTTATGACAGTTCTGGGACATTCACTCCATACAGCGGTTGAAACATTGTATCTATTTTTTTCCATAAATGACATTCTGCAGATACACTTAGAGGAGCGCTGCAGATACACTTTTTGCCGGCTTGGAATTATTCTTATTTTCATCCTACTTCTTCTTTTCTTCTTATGGATGAGGATGAGGATGAGGAGAAGAAGAAGAAGAAGAAGGAGAAAATAAAATTAATTCCAAGCCGGCAAAAAGTGTATCTGCAGCGCTCCTCTAAGTGTATTTGCAGAATGTCATTTATGGAAAAAAATAGATACAATTTCAACCGCTGTATGGAAGGACAGTCCCAAAACTGTCATAAATAGTCTATTTCTGACAGTTCTGGGACATTCACTCCCATACAGCTGTTTGAAACAGCTGTATGGAGGGAATGTCCCAGAACTGTCAGAAATAGACTATTTAATGACAGTTCTGGGACTGTCCTTCCATACAGCGGTTGAAACATTGTATGTATTTGTTTCCATAAATGGATCCATTTATGGGAAACAAATACATACAATGTTTCAACCGCGTATGTATGGAAGGACACAGTCCCAGAACTGTCATTAATAGTCTATTTCTGACAGTTCCATGACATTCCCTCCATACAGCGGTTGAAACAGCTGTATGGAGTGAATGTCCCAGAACTGTCAAATAGACTATTTCTGACAGTTCTGGGACATTCACTCCATACAGCTGTTTGAAACCGCTGTATGGAAGGAGGGAATGTCATGGAACTGTCAGAAATAGACTATTAATGACAGTTCTGGGACTGTCCTTCCATAATTGTATGTATTTGTTTCCATAAATGGATCCATTTATGGAAACAAATACATACAATGTTTCAACCGCTGTATGGAAGGACAGTCCCAGAACTGTCATTAATAGTCTATTTCTGACAGTTCCATGACATTCCCTCCATACAGCGGTTGAAACAGCTGTATGGAGTGAATGTCCCAGAACTGTCAGAAATAGACTATTTCTGACAGTTCTGGGGAATTCACTCCATACAGCTGTTTCAACCGCTGTATGGAGGGAATGTCATGGAAGCTGTTGAAACAGCTGTATGGAGTGAATGTCCCAGAAACTGTCAGAAATAGTCTATTTCATGACAGTTCTGGGACAATCACTCCATACAGCTGTTTCAACGCTTCAATGGAGGGAATGTCATGGAACTGTCAGAACTGTCAGAAATAGACTATTTAATGACAGTTCTGGGACTGTCCTTCCATACAGCGGTTGAAACATTGTATGTATTTGTTTCCATAAATGGATCCATATGACTTAGAATGGAAACAAATACATACAATGTTTCAACCGCTGTATGGAACAGTCCCAGAACTGTCAGAAATAGTCTATTTCTGACAGTTCTGGGACATTCACTCCATACAGCTGTTGAAACCGCTGTATGGATGAATGAGAACTGTCAGAAATGACTAAAAATGACAGTTAGGGACTGGTCCATAGCGGTTGAAACATTGTATCTATTTGAAATGGATCCATTTATGGAAACAAATAGATACAATGTTTCAACCGCTGTATGGAAGGACAGTCCCAGAACTGTCATTAATAGTCTATTTCTGACAGTTCTATGACATTCCCTCCATACAGCGGTTGTTTGAAACAGCTGTATGGAGTGAATGTCCCAGAACTGTCAGAAATAGAGACTATTTATGACAGTTCTGGGACATTCACTCCATACAGCGGTTGAAACATTGTATCTATTTTTTTCCATAAATGACATTCTGCAGATACACTTAGAGGAGCGCTGCAGATACACTTTTTGCCGGCTTGGAATTATTCTTATTTTCATCCTACTTCTTTTTTTCTTCTTATTCATGAGGATGAGGATGTGGAAGAAGAAGAAGAAGAAGTAGGATGAAAATAAGATTAATTCCAAGCCGGCAAAAAGTGTATCTGCAGCGCTCCTCTAAGTGTATTTGCAGAATGTCATTTATGGAAAAAAATAGATACAATGTTTCAACCGCTGTATGGAAGGACAGTCCCAGAACTGTCATAAATAGTCTATTTCTGACAGTTCTGGGACATTCACTCCATACAGCTGTTGAAAACCGCTGTATGGAGGGAATGTCATAGAACTGTCAGAAATAGACTATTAATGACAGTTCTGGGGACTGTCCTTCCATACAGCGGTTGAAACATTGTATATCTTTGTTTCCATAAATGGATCCATTTATGGAAAAACAAATACATACAATGTTTCAACCGCTGTATGGAAGGACAGTCCCAGAACTGTCATTAATAGTCTATTTCTGACAGTTCTATGACATTCCCTCCATACAGCTGTTGAAACCGCTGTATGGAGGGGTCCCAGAACTGTCAGAAAAATCCCAGAACTGTCAGAAATAGACTATTTCTGACAGTTCTGGGACTGTCCTTCCATACAGCGGTTGAAACATTGTATGTATTTTTTTCCATAAATGACATTTGACAACAAAACAGCTGTTTATGGAGGATGTCCCAGAACTGTCAGAAATAGTCTATTTCTGACAGTTCTGGGACATTCACTCCATACAGCTGTTTCAACCGCTGTATGGAGGGAATGTCATGGAACTGTCAGAAATAGACTATTAATGACAGTTCTGGGACTGTCCTTCCATACAGCGGTTGAAACATTGTGTGTATTTGTTTCCATAAATGGATCCATTTATGGAAACAAATACATACAATGTTTCAACCGCTGTATGGAAGGACAGTCCCAGAACTGTCATAAATAGTCTATTTCTGACAGTTCTGGGACATTCCCTCCATACAGCGGTTGAAACAGCTGTATGGAGTGAATGTCCCAGAACTGTCAGAAATAGACTATTTATGACAGTTCTGGGACTGTCCTTCCATACAGCGGTTGAAACATTGTATCTATTTTTTTTTTCCATAAATGACATTCTGCAAATACACTTAGAGGAGCGCTGCAGATACACTTTTGCGGCTTGGAATTAATCTTATTTTTTCATCCTACTTCTTCTTCTTCTATCCTCATCCTCATCCTCATAAGAAAAAAAAGAAGAAGTAGGATGAAAATAAGAATTCCAAGCCGGCAAAAAGTGTATCTGCAGCGCTCCTCTAAGTGTATCTGCAAAAATGTCATTTATGGAAAAAAATAGATACAATGTTTCAAACCGCTGTATGGAGTGAATGTCCCAGAACCAGAAACTGTTGGAAATAGTCTATTTCTGACAGTTCTGGGACATTCACTCCATACAGCTGTTTCAACCGCTGTATGGAGGGAATGTCATGGAACTGTCAGAAATAGACTATTAATGACAGTTCTGGGACTGTCCTTCTCATGACAGCGGTTGAAACATTGTATCTATATGACATGATCCCTCCATACAGATTGTTGAAAAGCTGTATGGAGTGATGTCCCAGAACTGTCAGAAATAGTCTATTTCTGACAGTTCTGGGACATTCACTCCATACAGCTGTTTCAAAACCGCTGTATGGAGGGAATGTCATGGAACTGTCAGAAATAGACTATTAATGACAGTTCTGGGACTGTCCTTCCATACAGCGGTTGAAACATTGTATGTATTTGTTTCCATAAATGGATCCATTTATGGAAACAAATACATACAATGTTTCAACCGCTGTATGGAAGGACAGTCCCAGAACTGTCATTAAATAGTCTATTTCTGACAGTTCTATGACATTCCCTCCATACAGCGTTTGAAACAGCTGTATGGAGTGAATGTCCCAGAACTGTCAGAAATAGACTATTTATGACAGTTCTGGGGACTGTCCTTCCATACAGCGGTTGAAACATTGTATCTATTTTTTTCCATAAATGACATTCTGCAAATACACTTAGAGGAGCGCTGCAGATACACTTTTTGCCGGCTTGGAATTAATCATTTTCATCCTACTTCTTCTTCTTCATCCTCATCCTCATCCTCATAAGAAAAAAAAGAAGAAGTAGGATGAAAATAAGAATAATTCCAAGCCGGCAAAAAGTGTATCTGCAGCGCTCCTCTAAGTGTATCTGCAGAATGTCATTTATGGAAAAAAAATAGATACAATGTTTCAACCGCTGTATGGAGTGAATGTCCCAGAACTGTCATAAATAGTCTATTTCTGACAGTTCTGGGAATTCACTCCATACAGCTGTTTCAAACCGCTGTATGGAGGGAATGTCAAGAACTGTGTCAGAAATAGACTATTAATGACAGTTCTGGGACTGTCCTTCCATACAGCGGTTGAAACATTGTATTAATTCCTGACAGTTCCATATCCATCCATATGGAAACAGCGGATACAATGTTTCAAACGCTGTATGGATTTGTCCCAGAACTGTCAGAAATAGTCTATTTCTGACAGTTCTGGGACATTCACTCCATACAGCTGTTTCAACCGCTGTATGGAGGGAATGTCATGGAACTGTCAGAAATAGACTATTAATGACAGTTCTGGGACTGTCCTTCCATACAGCGGTTGAAACATTGTATGTATTTGTTTCCATAAATGGATCCATTTATGGAAACAAAAATACATACAATGTTTCAACCGCTGTATGGAAGGACAGTCCCAGAACTGTCATTAATAGTCTATTTCTGACAGTTCTATGACATTCCCTCCATACAGCTGTTGAAACGCTGTATGGAGTGAATGTCCCAGAACTGTCAGAAATAGACTATTTATGACAGTTCTGGGACTGTCCTTCCATACAGCGGTTGAAACATTGTATCTATTTTTTTCCATAAATGACATTCTGCAAATACACTTAGAGGAGCGCTGCAGATACACTTTTTGCCGGCTTGGAATTAATCTTATTTTCATCCTACTTCTTCTTCTTCATTCATCCTCATCCAATCATAAGAAGAAAGAAGAAAGAAGTAGGATGAAAAAGTGTATCTGCAGCGCTCCTCTAAGTGTATCTGCAGAATGTCATTTATGGGAAAAAAATAGATACAATGTTTCAACCGCTGTATGGAGTGAATGTCCCAGAACTGTCATAAATAGTCTATTTCTGACAGTTCTGGGACATTTCACTCCATACAGCTGTTTCAACCGCTGTATGGAGGGAATGTCATGGAACTGTCAGAAATAGACTATTAATGACAGTTCTGGGTCAACCTTCCGGTATACAGTCCATTCTCTGCACATTAATAGTCCTCTATGTTTGACAGTTCATGACAAAATGAATCCATACAGCGGGTTGAAACAGCTGTATGGAGTGAATGTCCCAGAATGTCATAAATAGTCTATTTCTAGAAGAAGAAGATGTAGGATGAAAATAAGATTAATTCCAAACAGGCAAAAAGTGTATGTGCAGAGCTCCTCTAAGTGTATCTGCAGAATGAGGAACTCTGCACATCATCCTCATCCTCATCCTCAGAAGAAGAGGATGAGGATGAGGATGAAGAAGAAGAAGAAGAAGAAGAAGTAGGATGAAAAGAAGAATAATTCCAAGCCGGCAAAAAGTGTATGTGCAGAGTTCCTCTATTTCTGACAGTTCTCTCACAGCTTCTTCACATGAACAGTGGTTGAAACATCTGTATCCTAAATATAAACTAATAGATACAATGTTTCAACCGCTAAACATGTGTTCCTTCTGTCAGAGAACTGTCAGAAATAGCGGAGCTCACTGCAGGGACACTTTTGCCGGCTGATCGGGAAATGTTCGATTCGCGCACCCGAAGTAGGCAAAATTTCGGTTTCGCCGCGAATCGAATATTTCCTGAAATTCGACTCGAATTCCGGTTCGCCTGGTTTTTGTTTGTTGCATTTCATAAAAATGCATCATCTACATGGGCAACTAGGGGCACACAACAAATTCTTGGGACAAGAATCAGCAAATTTTGGTGCTGAGATCACAAGTGTATACTGTATAAACAGAAACCTGCACAAAGCAGTGACAGGTTGACAAGAGTCATTGCTGTTCACATGTATCTGTGCATCCAGTGGTTACCTGCAGTTAGGGACAGATATCCAATCTAGGGATGAATAAGCATCCAGGGTTCCTCGTTCATCCCTAA